ATGCTCTTATAGTATAGAGATTAATAATGTACTTATCAATTAAATTCTTGGTATGATTCGAGTGAATTGAAAGTCTAAGATGATGAACCACAATAAGTGACCCAATAAAAAAAGTGCAAACAACAACTCCTTAAGGAAAAAAAAAACAGGGAGGTCCTAGGTTCGATAAGTTATTATTTGCTTGATCGTGGCCATAAGTAAGGTGGAATTCCCAACTAGCATTTTACAGGCACAAAAAGAGTGAATAAGTGTGATTCGGCACCAATTGTCCCCCTTTTAATCATGTATAAGATAAAATTGAGTGTATTAAGTTATAACCCCACAAAACAAACACATAACATCTATCTTTCCAAATCAAAATTCCCTACAAAAGTAGTGAGGACCCATTACTCTCACTATCACTAGGGTCAGTTAGTTGGGAGTTCTTCCTAATTTAGTTGATAATTTGGACCACTGAGCAGTAAAAATTTGTTCTCCATGACTGATCTCCACTTACATCTTACCACGTGTTAAAATCATAACTAAAATGAACGGGATCGTGTGTGTAAAATCTAAATCAATACAAGTGATTTGAACACAAAGCAAAACATGGTGTGTTTCATAGGAATTGCAATTATCAGATGGGTTGGCTGGGCTGGGGCCCAATCAAGGAGGCAGGTCTCAATATTCCTTTTTCTTCTCTTTTTTTAGGGTTTTTTTTTTTTTTGGTATAATCTTAGAAAATTCTGTCGAACATGCCTTCGTATAGTCTGGTATGAACTTGAAGATGGTTCATTAGGGCACGCATGAGCACTACATAAGTGATGGGTTTGAACCCTACGTTATCTCTCCCATTTAACCAACAATGTTTGACTATGTGAGACGTGATAAGGAAAACCAATTAAGAATCACGTTTAGGGATGACTTTTAAGCATCAACGATCATAGCCTATGTTTGAGCCATATGATTATAAGGATCATTATCTCTTGGAAGTCTTGTCTTATCAGGTTCTTCTAGGTTGATTTCGTCGGTAAGCCCTTCCAGGCTCGCAGAGTCTTTCTTGGGTGCCTTGATTTATGTGTGTCCATCACGAGAGGCGTCGAGAGTACCCTAGCCTGCCAGAAGTATCTACCATACTATGCATGATTTACGAGGAAACATCCCCTCTTGTATATAATGTTAACCCATACGAGAATTAGGTGCTAACCAAACCCTAAGAGCAACTCCTAATCAACGAAGTCTGCTTTGGTACACAATTAATGTCATCCCTTCTACGACCAGTATATATTTAGTTACCATAAAACAATCATTAAATAATAAATTAGTTTCCAAGTCATTTGATAACATTAGTTAAAGCTGGTTTGATATTGCTGTACTTTGATAAAAAAACTGTTTCTGTTGTGCTGTGAGAATAAACTCATTTTTGCTGCTTCATGTTTTCAGCTTTTTTTTTTCACCAAAAACTGTGAAAATAAGCTATTTTTAAGTGTTTACCAAACATCTTTTTAAACTCAACTTTTTTTATATCAACTTTTTATAAAGGCATCTCGATACCAAACCAGTACTTAATCATTTTTTGCAACTTTTGCTAAATAGTTTGAGAAATAATTGACTAGTATTCAACACCAACTTAATTAATAGGATTCAAAGACTTCCAAGCAGCACAATATCCAACTCGCTCGCCACCTGTCTAAATTATTGCAAGGACTTCGCTATCGTTTGTACCATAAAGAAGTCTTTGCCTTACTTCTTTGACGGTAAATAATATTCGGACATTCTTTTTATCTTTTTGCATACTGTTATTTATTTATTTATTTTTATTGATTCTCATTTTATTGATTTATTTTAAGATTATATATGAATAAGATTGTGCAGAAGAGAAAACGGATGTGTGAAATTTACTTTTTTGTGAATCGTCACCATCACAAATAAGTGTCGTATTCACATTCTTTTGAATCGAACTTGAGATTTTCTACAACTAAATATAGACAACTACCGCTAAACCAAACACTAGTTGGTTGAAAGAAAAATTAGTTTGAGAGATTAATCCAACATGCAAATCACCCACCCCTTATAATCTAGTAGGTTAAATCATTTTAAGCATTTTTTTGTTTCTTTCACAAAGTAGTATAAATTCCTACTCAAAACTGTTAGTTGCTGATTTATAGAATTTCGTGCTTATAATCAGAACCGTTCATACTATAAATTACTCTATGAAGATCGTCTCAACGAACAATCAATTAAACTAAGTTCGTTTAGTCATCGAACTGTATAAAAACATACGAACAAAATTGATAAAAGCATTGCTAACCTTCTATGCATTTGCTACAATAAATTGACTAAACGATCTTAATGTAATTCATTTTCTACAGAGATAATCTTTATGTGTAATCCATAATATGAACGGTTCTGATTATAATTACAAAACTATGTAATTTGAATATAGTTTTGAGTAGTCAAACATTGTCTAATTTTGTTGAAAAAATGTGAAGGTTACTCCAACCCTTACCTGGACAGCAATGACCAGGACTGGTTAATTGAATCATTTGTTCGGATGTCACTGTCGATTGTTCGTGTCAGTCAATGTAGAGGTCGATCAATGTGAATAAAAATCCAGGCTTTGTATATTACTTTGAAAACAGTTTACCAAAAGTAATATACCCTTAATTAACGAGGTGCATCGATAGATCCATACCAAACTTTTAGGTACAAAATCCTCCACCTCCACCGTCACTTATGATAAGATTGAGCGAGGTCATGATAAGACCGAATTCGTTAATCCATGATCTTGAATTCCATTATTTTCATACGACAGTTCATTTTTTGTGAAACGCCGAACTGGAAAGATTCACAAAAACATTTCAATCTCTTTTTAATCACCATCTTATAATTCATCAATACTAAAAATCGAATTCCGATGCAACGGTAAATCAATGAATGCTGCATGGATTCACCGATTCCATAAGAAGACAAGTAAGAATTTTTAATTTAAAAGAAAATATGATATTTTACTTTACATGATAACAATTTAGCGTCTATACAAATAAAATCAAGTCCTTTTAGTGTCATATAAAAAAATTGAAAGAGAGTAAATGATGTAATAATTTGTAACTTTAAAAGGGGAATGTATGTAATCGAGCATGTCACTACAACTATTGTTTTTCTTAAAAAAAAAAAAAAAAAGATTAGTTGGTGGTTTCGTCATTCATCTTTTAGGAAGCTAAAAAATTCACAGATGTATTTTAACCACTTTGTGGCCATCATCGTGTGATTCATCACATCATGAATCAAATTCAATACGTGTCATGTAAAATACGAACCCGAAATTCGTCTCATTACTACTATTGTTAAGGTTACTTAGTAGGTAAATAATGGCTGGATTTTACTAGACAAAGAGCTAGCATATTGCAGATATCTTTTGCAAATGTTTGGAAACTGGATTTTCCAGACAGGCTTTGATTTCTTTTATTTTTTTCCTTTAAAAGGGTGACCAGTTTGTGGCGAAAACTCAAAATCACGATAATTCATCATTTTAGAAATCGAAAAAACTTGGGAAAGTATTTCAGTTTCGAGAGACAGCCTTTGATGGAAAGTTGCTTTTATCTTTGGGAGGGCATCAATCGACGTCTCAAGTTCCTCTTCTTTATTCCTTTTTTTCTTTCCACTTGTTTATCCATTTAGATTTTCTTTCCATAATTTTCTAAAGTTGTTGGGACTGTAAAGTTCTCTGTGATTCCTCAGCCAAGTCAGAACTTCACTGCTGCCAACCTGGGCCACCGGTGTTCCTTAATTTCATTGCTAATTAAAAATAATCAAACTTTGAATAAAAATAAAATAAATAAACATGTAGGAATTAAGAAAATAACAATCTACTTGTTTGGTTTGATTTTCTGGCCAGTGAATTCCAAAGCTCTCAAAGGACTTTATGCTGCAGCTAAGAAATACATTAATTTATTTATCTTATGTTGGATTAAGTACATTTTCTGCCATCAAACTTTTAGGGTCTGGTTTTAATTTTCTCACTTTACACTCTAATCTTTTAATATTTAACCAATTTTACTTTATACCTTATCTTAGGTTAATCGTCTAGTTAACCGTTATTATTAAGAGAAATGATTTAAAGAAGCGGGGAGGAGAACCATCACGGGATAACCTAGTGGTTGAGAACAAATTTCAGACCTGTATTCCACGTGGGACGTCTTGGGTTCGATTCTTAACGTTGGTGAATCGCATGATGGTGGCCAGGGAAGACTGAAATGCCTTTGTGAGTTTTTAAGGCCTTGAAAAGATGGACTGATGTGGCGAAGTCACCAACCGATCATTTTTTAAAAGAAAAGGTAGAAAAAGGGAGTTTCTTAAGGTATAATGTGATAGTAAGAGAATAACCTGCAAAGTCACTCACAACAGAATGAGTCTCGTGTAACGTATTGTCACGTTAGGACTTAACGATTAATAAGACAACATCCCTTAAGACAAAAAATAATTCTTAATCATGAGTTGGACTTAAGACACCATCTGTCCCTACTTAACAGCTGTTAGGCCACAAGTTACGCAATATAAGTAATTTTAACAATCATAATAAGATTATTATATAACAATTCCGTTAAAATTGTGGGCCCCGTCATCAAATTATCTCCTTTCCAGTTTCCAGCACACAAATGAAAGCAACCCTGAGAGAGAAGATGGGTAGGGGCAAATGCAAGACAGAGAGATCAGGCATTCTCCAATCCTATTGGTTGTTGAAATGGTGGTTCCTAGCCCTTGCTTTTTCACTTTTTCATTTTTCAATCCATTTTCCCATCAACCAAACAGGGCATAAGATTCTCCCAACAAAAGGAAAATTACAAAGAATTTACACACAAAATAACATGAACTATGAAACACAATGATAAATGATTTCCGCACACTATGTTTTTTCTTGTGCGCACTTCTTGCGCTTGTTTCTGTTTGTTAATTCTTCTTTGAGTATTCAATTTAATAGCCGAAAATAAACAGAAATGTGCAGAGAGAGAAAATGCGTCTTGGAAATCACTTCCCGAACAGAATACCAGTAATAATATTTATCAAATGGTAAGTTTTTACCCCTCCAACACTCATGCTACCGTGCTACATAATCTGAAAAATTGGTCTTATAGAATTGTTGCAATTAGTACTAGAATTTACATCAAAGTGGAATTCTCCAAAAGAATGAGTTGCTGAATCAATCTGCCAATCATGTTGAAAAGAAGAAACTGTTATTTTCCTCCAGGGGCTAAAGATCCACTCAAACTGGAACTGCTCTGTATATACAGTTAATTCTGTTGATTAAAGCTCTACTTTCATCTGAGCTGAAGCCCCTGAGCCTGCAGATAACACAAAATGATGGATTAAACGTTGAAACATTCGATCCCGACGATCTGACGATTGCAGGTTATCTTATAAAAGTTTACTTAATTACCATGAAAACTCTCCTGCTGAATCTGGCCAAAACCCATCTGCACCACGCTTTGGAGGTCATCCTCGAACAATGTTGGCATCTGGAATATGAATTTTTTTGAGTAAGCCTTGAGAAAACGAAAGCGAAGTAAAACTATTTCATAAAGATTTACTGAGCCAAGTTTTTTCGGTTAATTACTTGAGATGCTGCTTCACCAAATCTGTCAAAAGCAGGCAATTGCATGCCGTGACTTTGACGCAGTGCGGAGTTTAGAGGGTTTGCTGGAAATTGTGTGTCTGTCGCACTAGAGATGCCGCTGCTATGTAAAGGCGGCAGTTGCTGGGGCTGGTATCCGAAAGGGAATGAAGGCACAGAAGAATCTAACTGGTAAAGCGCATTTTGTAAAGATCCACGAGACTGAATGATCTGAAATTTGCGTTGGAATATATAAAGTTAAAGTTGGTAACTACTGGCAAATGCATCAGGATTCGGGATCAATTCCATGTAGCAAAATAGTTGAAAAATCGGTAACTTACATCCTTTGACAGAAGAGCCTCCATGTTCAACTCCATCCTCGGATTCACAGTTGACAACTTCATAGAAAGAAACTGAACCAACAAAAATTCAACCAACACAATTTAGCAACAAAACTAAGTGTTGCGATCGCAAAGTAGGAAAGGTTGAACACTGAGACGATCTGAATTTACCTCAACCTGGCACTGCAACGACTGCACGTAGTTTATAATTTCATCTAGCATCACTGCTTTCCCGGTCACCTGACATTTTTTTTCATTCATTGTTCAATTTAGTACTAATTCTCATTGTTTTCGACATCAGTTTCAGAACGAGTAATTAAATCACTTAATTAAACTCAAATATGAATAATTTAGGTACCTTGTTGCAACCAGGAACAAGATCTTGAAGAAACTTCATCCTTTCGCTAATTTTCTCTCTTCGAACCTGACCAGGTAACGATGATAAACAGGATTTAGCAACAAAAACTTTAATCCAAAACCAAATTCCAAAACAAAAAAAAAAAACACAAATCCACAGAACAGAGCATTGAATTTAAACATACCCTTTCTGCAAGACTATGGCTATCAGTGGCTTGACCCCTTCTGGCTCTGACATGGATGTAGTCCTTTGGAGCCTCAGGAGTCTCTGAATTGGCCTTTGTCTTTGCCTTTGAAGTTTCCTTTTCTTTCCCAGAAGCTTCATCATTTTTGCTTTTCTTGGCATTTGGTTCTTCTTTTTCTGCCACAACCTGCAGAAAAGTAGGTTCACTCATTATTTTTACAGTTTTACAAACAAACAATTCTCTACAGAAATTGGAAAAAAAAAAAAAAAAAAGGGCAAAAAATTGGACAATTGGTGACAGAATTTAAAGTAATTACCTTGGCATCTTTGACAGGGTGAGATGAAGAGGAATCTTTGGCTTTTCCTCTTGCAGCAGATTTTCTTTTCCTTGAATTGGTAACTATTTCAGCTTTCATACTCAAATCCCCACCTGGGATCTGCTGAGAAACTGATGATCCCTCCCTGGAATCACCCAACTCACCATTTTCCGGCGTGGAGGCCCTCGAAAACCGGCTGATGAACTTCTTATCAGGAGCTGAATTCCCATCAAGGGGAGAGCTTTTGTTGGTTTCTTGAACAGCAAGTTGAGATCCAGCAGCAACTTTCAGTGATTGGTTGCTGGAAACTCTCGAAAGCTTGCCAGAGTCAATCCTTGCCATTGATCTGTAGGCCAATTCAGCTTCATTCAAGTTGAATTGGCCACCAAAATTGCCACCACCACCACCACCGAAGCAGGAAAATCTTGCAGCCCTCTCAACAAATCCAGGGTCTGCCTGAAATTGAGCCAAATTTTCAATTGGCAGACTGCCTCTCTGTGAAGAGTTCAATGGGGTGCTATAACATGAAGTGTTAGTACTACTGTTGTTGTAGTTGCTAGAAATGTATGAGTGTGGAGATATTTCTCCTGAATTGGAAATGCTTCCTAATCTTCCAATTAGTTCTCTAATCATATCTCCTCCCTCGCCGCCGTTCCCCGCGGCGGCGATGGGGGAAGAGACAATGGAGCTCAAGGCAGACTCAAAAGGATCGGTCTGATCCAAGGAATTGTCCCAATTGGCATTAAAAAAGGAATTGGGAAGTTGCTGGGGAGCACAATTGAGCTCATTGGACTGCATTTCCATGGAAAAACCTGAAGGGTTCCAAGTGGGTTTGGCTAGGCTGTCCTTTTCCATGGAATCAAAGAGGGTTATGGAGCTGAATCCAAGAAAAAAGTGAAGATCCAGGTGAGAAAGTAGGGAGTGGGAAAGAAAACCCAGAAATTTCTTGGGAAAATATTCAAGTGGGTGGCTTTGTTTGAGTACAAATAAGGAAGGAGAGAGGTTGGAACTGTGGTTGCTGCTATCAGAAGGACAGGGAATGAGAGCTTAAAATGTGGAGGAAAAAGGAAAAGGAGAGCTTAAAAGAAGGTGGGGAGTGAAAAGAGAGCCAACAGAGGAAGAGAGCGAGAGAGAGAGAAGGGGTGGGGGGGAGGGGGAGATGAGGAAAGTGGAGATGAAGCAAGGCACATAAAAGAAAGGAAATTTCTGTTTGACCTTTCAAACATTTAGTAAAACAATGAGATATTTATAATCATTTTATTTATCATTTTTCTAGTCCATACGTATGTGATGAAAATATGCTAATGTTGAGACGGGAATTGACAGTTTTTTACAAGTTTGCGGAAGAGGGAGTGAGCATGAGGAATCGGCCAATTATAATGTATTTATAATATTTATACGATGTATTTATAGTTACAACCGTGTATCAGTCGGTGGACCGTTGAATGGGTGGGAATGCAATGACATCAAGACCTCACTCAAGTCTCAACGAAAGAGAAAGGTCTCAATCTTTTTTTTTTTTTTTTGGATCTAAACAGTTTGATAATTTTTTATTTTTTTTAATCTAAACAGTTTGATAATTTATTTTCAAAGTTGTGATCCATAAGTCAAGACCTTTCGAAATCATATTTTACACTTTACTTGTTAAAATGTCAATAAAGCTTTGCAACCGACATACATCATTAAGAATTTAAGGAAATCTCATTTATCAAGTGCAAAACTAAAAGTATATGGTAGAATAACATTGTAGAAGTGTATTTTGATAGACAATGTTGTTAGACTGTTAATCTAACTATTGATCATAATAGTATTTTTTTTTTTCCAAAAATTTAGTCTTAATTAGTGGCGGAGCAACTAAGGAAACAAAATGGTTCTTGGCCCATTCTGCCTTTTTTTTTGCTAGTATAACAGTGATGATGTTACATATAAGTCTAATACCTTAAAATTCAAGTGTGTTCTCAATCCAAAATTTGTTCCGTTCCAGGCCAGACCTCTTTTCTCTCCATCCCTCTTATTGTGGTGCAGTCTTTACTTCCCCTTCTTATTATTTCAACTTTTCTTTGGCTTTAAGTTATATTTTTAAAAAAAAATTCTTGCTTTTTTTACCTCATGTTTGAGTTTATGGGATTATACAATGTTTTCAGTTCCATCTATTGAGTTTAGGTATTTCAATTTTTATGTAAATCACTCCAATCTCTCATGAGTTCAAATTACCTATATATATGTGTGTGTGTGAGAGAGAGATCCCCTATACAAGAAATTTATGTCTCTAATCTTAATAGAAGTTGTAATTCGAATACGCCAACGTTTTACACAATATTTTATAATATAAACACATACTTACTAAACAAATCACTGTCACTCTGTCACTGTTTGTTGGTGTTAATCATCAATGATTAATGCACCTAGGATTTGTTTAATCTTTCTCATGGATTCATAGTTAAAGACTAAGCTATGTAATTAGTGGAATATTAATTCATTATAATTTAACTGATCTTTCACTTTTTAACCTTCATTTGCCAAAGTGGTGGGACCTCTTTGGGTTTGTGTTGTGCATGTGGATTCGTAGTGGGTAATGTGGACAAAACCTTTGCACAGATCTACTTGTCCAAAAGTTATTGAACAAACAATCTGAACTACTTAAATTGAATTTGACGATTTCTATTGATTTATTTTGCTGGCCTATCTCATATAAATCATGGGTTCCGATCTCTCACAAATCAAGAACTCAAATTTCCTAATTCTTAAGCTTCTAACATTAAGGTCCAGAAATGATCTAAATTCGGGTGATATGTGGAGATCAAGACAAATATTAATAAACTTTTTAACTTAATTTTTTTCTGGGTGGAATATTTTTTCAAATCCAGTTTTAACGACTTGTGTGTGGTCCACATTTAAGGAATTTATTCTCCCCCAACCCCTTTTCATTCTGTTCAGAATTATTTCTATCCAACTTGAGTTAAAATCAAGGGTGCTGGATGGAGTGGGCCAGACAAGATACAGCCCACCAACTCCTTATACGGCCCAACAAACTAACAGATCAGTACTGTACAAAAGATCAGATTTTTTTTCCATTTTTTTATATTAAGAGGATGATGACCACTTGCATTACGACGATGTGAGAAATCTTAAGTTCGATCGGCATGAAAAGCGAGCTTAATATTAAATTATTATTAGCCCACCGTATAACTTAGAGAAACGCTCCATATCCATCATCGTTGTATCTCTTCACTAATAAACTTTTTAGGTCTGCATAGCCCACCTCTAGCATTACAGATATTGCCCCAACTTACCACTTATTGCTAGAGTTCCTTTTTATCACAAGAGGCTTTAGTGACAGTAAAGATGGGATTCCCATATATAAGTTGTATATTATTTTGTTATTTGTCCGATGTGTATAATTTATGTGGCACCACTATATTGGATTTGTGAGCCCCACATATGTACCACATCTAATAAAATAATTGACGAAACATAAACAGAAGAATCAAATTGATATGCGGATGTGAATGTTAGTGACAATATTGTGCGATTTTGAAAGTGAAATATTTGCGATATAATTTTTTTTTTTAAATAACTGAATGACAAACAAAGCATTTTTGCCATTTTTTGCAAGATTGTAAGGGAATTTACAAAACACTACTCGAAAAATTAAGGTATTATATAGTTCAAATTTTATTAAAATATAATAAACTTTAGTTTGAAAAAAAACATTATAAGTTTTATGTTATAGTTGCCTAGTGTTCACAAGATTTAAATTTGAAGTCTTCCCTACAAAGTAACTTATGGGTAACCCTTTCGTTTTCATTTTTTAGTTTTTATTTTATTGAAAATTGAAAACTCATTTAGTATTTACTTTCAATTTTTTAGCTGTCTTCACTCAAATGTAGTTGTCTCTATTGTGCCCGAGGAGATGTCAAATTTAACTCATCTCAATGCGAGAGGACGATATAATTTGTAATGAGTTCGTTACCTAATTATGACTTACCAATTATTGCGATGTAGCTTTGTTATGAAACATCAAGATTAAACATTACACTATCATATCTAAGGGACTTGACTAAAAAAAAACAATCAAACTAAGACATATCGTACCATACATGATGCAACATAATTAAACCGTTTAGATCCTCATTTTATGAATTTATATATGGATCTCAACTAATGTTTCCAAAAGTAAAAACTATGAAAAGAAAATCTGTGTAATCCGCGCAAATTTTTAATATTGAATAATAGTTAATCATTGATAAGGGTGTTTTAAAAACTCAGGTTGCTTCATTTTTTAAAACTCAGGTTGCTTCATTTTTTATTTTTTATTTTTTATTTTATCAACAAGTTGCTTCATATTTAAAGTTTCACTCAGTTCACAAATCATTAAAAAAAATAAAGTTTGATTAAACCACACATAACCATATGTATAATTAAAGATGCTAAAATTAGTCAACCGACGGATCTTTGCACCCAATCCCAAAACGATACTCTTATTATTCTTTTGTCAAAAAAAAAAAAAAAAAAAAAAAAACCTACTCTTTGCTCAACTTGTCGTGGTAAAAAAGCATGCATGCAAGTATACATACGTAAATGAATTAATAAAGTCAGGATTTAGTTGATTGAATTGATAATGTCGTTTTCTTTCTTAAATTAAGGCTTAGGTTCGAATTTCGTTACTATCAAATCTTTTTAGTTAGTAATTTGTAAAAACTAAAAGAGAGACTAAAATCTCTCTATAAGTTCTCAAATAAACTTATAGTATGTCATTGCTCTCGAATGGATAGTCTCCCTTCCCCTAAAATTTTATTTACCAATAAAAGAAAGTCAAGGTTTAATCAACTTACTATAGAAATTAATATTACAACTGTTATATCTCACACACACACACACACACATATGTATATATATATATATATATATATATATAGACTTGATAGGCATCTACCAATTCTTGTGAACATATCAAAAGTTTATGCCTGCATAAGTCGGCAACTACTATTATTTGTAGAGACTTATCGAGAGTGGATGTAGGATACTGTACAGTAATGTTGAAGGTGGCCAAGACTTTTCAACTAAAGTATTTCATCAAGCACATGATGCGCACAATATAGTTGCACCCAAGAAGCAAAAAGGAAAGACAAATATGATAGAAGAAATAGAAGAAGTAGGAGAAAGATGTAATTTAGTTTGCCTTAGTTGTTTATAGGAGTCAAATACACTACGCAAACAAATATATATATGAAGTTTTTAAAGTTGTTAGAATTAATTAAGGACAATCAATGACATTATGCTGGCTCCGCCTTTGTATATATGCCGCCCACCCTATAGGATATATACCTACTGTATCGGACCTTGAAGCTACATCCCGGCCGCCCACCATTCCATCAGTCGACTATCCTCTCTCTCTCTCTCTCTCTTAAGTCTCTCTGTGGGTGTAAACACCAAACCGTGTGTTGTGTCCAAATTTTCAAAACTTGATATGAAAAAATAAGAAAGATGCCTCTGCAGTGTGTCGGCGAATATAAATTCATGCAATGCAGAGCCTTCTCTTTGATATAACGTGACCTTCAATCATTGATGCACACATTCATATGCACCTCCCTCCTCCATAATATACAGTTTTATATTCTCAGAGAAACGTGTGTCGGTTTCTGATTGGCTCCTGGGGCACGATGGTGCAAGTTCATTAGACTATATAATTTGTTAAATTATTTTATCCCTTAATTAAATAACAAGTAATATATAAGTTAACAGTTAGCTAGCAGTTGTTTTAGCTTTTGTGCTTTATTTACGTCGTTTTACAAAGATACAAGTAACTGAGTCTTCCAATCCAATCAAGCTTTGAAGGAATCAACACACACACACACACACACACAAACTTATACTGCAAGGGAGGAGGGGTGGTTAGGTTAAAGTTAGGGTTAGGGTTTGATCGATAATTAAGCTTAGCACTTTGATTATAATATGAGTAATGATAGGGAAATTAAATTTGTAGACAAAATTTTGAAAATTAAAGGACATGAAAGTTTATGATTTATTTATTACTTATATGTTGATAAATGTATGTACTTATTCTTATTAGTGATACATCATTTAGTTTGCAAATTTAGTATTCCTAGCATTACCATTATAATATCGGTTGCCTCGTAAACTTTTTATTTATTTATTAAGTTTGAAGCAGTTTGTGTTTTTACATTATTTTTATGACAATTT